ATTTTTTCAAAGTTATACATCATTTATTGGATTTAGACCTTTTTTACTTTTTATTTATTTCCATTTCTAAACGAATAACTATTTCATAAAAGTTTCTGATTGCCTTTCATAATTCTTAATATTTTTCAAAAACATTTTTATAATTTGTTATTATTTTTTAATATTATTATATTTTATAATATTTGTTTATTTTTACTTTTTTGAGAAGTGTTTTTAGTTTTCCTTTTTTATTTATATTTTTTTATTGATATTTGATTTTTTGTTTTATACTTAATTTTTATACAAAATAAGGGGCATATGAAGTCTTCTAAAAAATTAACACTTATAAATGTTACAATTATATATATATATATATATATATATATATATATATATATATAATTGTTTTATACATACTTTTTGTACAAAATAATGGGGCATATGAAGTTTTTTAAAAGATTAACATTGTGAAAGAATGTTATTTTTCTTCAATTTTTCCTCTTTACTATTTTATACCTTTTTCATTTTTAGTTTTGAGTTTTGAATTTCAAAATTTTCTATACATTTCTTAATATTTTTTTGATTTATGTTGCTAATTTAAATTATGTTTTTTTTTTTAATTTAACTTGCTTGTGTTCAACTTTGAATTTTTACTATGCATTATTTTATTTTAGTATTGATTAATTTATTATTTTTAAAATATTATCTTATTTTTTAACACTTATAATATTTTCTAGTTATTTTCATCTTTTTTACACTACTAAATATTTAGTGTTTTGTATTTAAAAATATGAATTGGATAATTCTTGGAGTTTGTAAAAGTTGGAGTTTGTAGAAATTTAGCAACGATGGTGTATAGAGTGGGGGTGGGAGCTTCCCACGTTCGCTCCCCTGGAGCATGTATTCCGGTGGTGCGGTTCAACGTATGGTCTACTTTTGAAAAGAAGAGATTAGTTAGTTTATTTTTGAAATAAAACTTTAAACAATTAAACTGGGAGTACCATACGATAATCGTCTCTCTAGGGTTGGGCTCCTTAGCCGCCTAGTGTAGCTTTTCCCTTCCCAATTCGTTTCGGATCAGCTTTGGCAGAAAAGTTGGTACGGAAACGGAGGTGGTGCAAACTGTTTTCCTGGGTGCTTTCAACAAGTGCAGGGGCAACAATCTTGCTCTTTTTCTTGTTCGAGTTGCTCTTTGTTGTGTGCGAGGAAGGCCTAGTTTTCGGATGAGATCTGGTATCTACTTCGGTGAAGCGGGAAGGCGGATGGAAGCTTCAAACAGCTGGACAGCGGAGGAAAAAACAACTAGTGGCAGTTTTGCTATGACAGCGAGACAAGGAGGAATGAACGGGCCCCGTGTATTCCAGATTTTGATCGTCAATGGAGAATCAATTGGTGTGGTACCGATGGTACGCCCCCCTCCAGAACCACCACCAAGGGCTGATCGACGTGATTTGGAGTTTGATTATTTATCGTTTCTGCATTTTAATTTTCAGGTTAAGACGTTTGTGTTTTGTTGTTATTTTATTTTATGTTGTAAGACTCTTGCATTAGGTTTGGAGAATGAGAGGTCTACGGTAATCATCATTGGCTATATGTTGCCCAATTTAGGTCTAGCGAGTTATATTGCTTTGTCAAAGGTGATTAACTCAGAATCTCGGCCAAGGGCGGATGGTTACATGTGGTTCTTTTGTTATCCTGTACCCTGCTGAATGCTATTTTATTAATCCAAAGTCACTTTGACGATAAAAAAAAACTTTAAAAATGAAAAAGGTGATATTACTTTTAGTTTTTAGTCTATTTGTGTAAAACTACCTATTTTCTTAGCTTTAGTCTTAGCCCATTGGCCGAATAGCCCGTTAGCCCTTTATTGAGTTGCTCTACGCCTCTACCAAATTACCAATTCAGCGTTTCAAGCTTTAGCGTCTCTCACGCACGACTTCAACCTTGACGACGAACGACTATCGCGCATGGAGGATTGGAGAGAGTGCCTAGTCTCCAGTCGGCCGACCCCATCTCTGGTTCAGCAACATCAGCTCTGGTTTCCAATAGAGTTCCTGCAGGGATTTCCTTAGCGATTGAGAGCGTAGTAAGTGGCAGAACTTCTTCTTTTACCTTCTCCGTCCTTCATCACCGGGAACTTGCTTCTCTCTCGGCCACTGCTCACTCTACAGAGCAAATGTAACTCTCTTCCATCTCTGGCTCTATATATCTCTATGAGATATGAAATTAGGGTTCATAATACTGTTAGTTTGATACTCGTTCCGATTTCAAATTTGCAGTTTCTTCTTGTTTTAGTATGTTTTGGATTTCTGGGTTTCTATTGAATGCATCATCTGTGTTGTTTTGTCATGTTTCTTTCCATTTGTTGCATAGCTCTGTCTTGAACATCCCTGGTTGTACACTTCCAATTCTATTGGCTGCTCTTCATTCTTCCCACCCTTCAGATACACTGCTACAATAATGCATCACCATCCCACCACCATCATTAGTAGTTCTCGTTAGGGATGGGCACGGTCCGGTCCAATATTTGGCCGAACCCGTACCCGTACCGTTACTATTGAAACGGTTCGGTACGATTCGGTCTTAGACCCAAACCCGTTCGGTACGGTCCATTTTCAAACGGGGCGGTACCATGCCATACCAATACCAAACAATGTCACTTTTTCCAGGTGTTTAAGAAAAAATTAAAGTTTAGCCATCCTCCAAAAAATCCACACAATTTATCAATTTTCGTATATCATACTACCTTCGTTCCAAATTGATTTGCAAAGTCAATCTTTTTTGGTCAAACAATTTCTTTTTATTCACTTAATTAGAATTTCACTTTTTAATTATATTCTAATTTGGCCTTTCAAAAAAACTACTCCGTACTTCGTATATTTTAATTTGGATTTTGCAACTTTAGAGAGATTTTAATGTGGTTTCTAAATATGTAAATTTTAATTATTAAAAATTGTATTAATTATCAAGAACTTAACATTAACTTTGACAAAAAAATGTTGGCTTTGCAAATCAATTTGGGACGGATGAGGTAATTAATATATTTTAGATAAACTATAGTAATACAAATTTAATAAACCATACTTCGGTCCGGTTCGGTCCGGTACCGGTTCTCATTTTATGAGAACCGGTCATGGAATTGTTTGGAACCGGTTCGGGACAAAAAAATTTGAGATCCGTTTCAAACCCCGTTTATCAGTCCGGTACCATACCGGTCTGGTTCGGTATCATGCCGGTTCGGTATTTTTGCCCACCCCTAGTTCTCGTGTAATCAAATCACATAGATCCTATATTTTAATCATCAACATTGTCCTCCATCTTTAATTGATATTAGGGAATCTATTCACATTTCCTAAATATGTTGTAATATGTGCATTCATCTATCAAGAATATAATAACTATCCATCCATATAGCAGAATCTTATTCTATTGAGTATGTTACTATCTTGAAACTTGCCAATAGGCCTGGACTCGGGCCGGGCGGTCCGACCCGGAACCGGCCCGGCCCGGCCACTGTAGCAACCGGCCCGGCCCGAGTCCAGGTCTACTTGCCAATAAACTATACTCCCTATTATTGATCTTTGGAACTTCATAAATTTTTACAATTTTTAAGACATAGAAACAAGAACCAAAAAATCTGAACCGGACCGACCCGTTTCAAATGAGCCGGGTAAAGCCTGGTTCCTATTTTGAAAGTTGTAATACCCGGACCGGATCGACCCGTACGGTGGAACCGGCGGTTCCATTTTATTTTGCATTACCCGACCCGGCCCGTGCCCACCCCTAAGTTCAACCCATCATCAGGACTCCTTCAAGAATACAACTCTTTGTCTGTGTTATAAAGGGGCATCAGTGCATCACACATTCTTTGCACCTCACAAGAGAGGGTGGGGTGTGAAGCATAAAACTCCAAAAGTCAATTGTGATGACACTAATTGTGAATTTGTGAGAGCAGGTTTCTTCGTTCCAAAGTCCCAATCAAATGGTCGACAAAATCTTCCACATTTATAGACGAGAAGCTATAATCAAATTATTTGAGCCACATTTGATTATCGCAATCATCAAATACTTCCATCAAAATTCAAACTTTGGAAATCTCAAAGCCCTAGAAAAGACACAATAACGCTGGTTGAACTACTGTCTCTAACCATAAATTTTAAATCGTGTTAGCCAATATTAAAACTGAATGTTACATGTTTGCAAATTAGTACTATTTGACTAGACCACATTATTGAGGGGTCGCAATCTGGAAGGATTCATTGAATCTTTTCCGTTCTATTTCTCATCCCATTGTAACCTTAGACTATTTGTTCTCTTGTATCTTTGCTATCTTTTAATAATAATTTAGTTATTTTATTTTCAAAAAAAATCTGATGTTACATTCCAAAAAGTTCATCACGATAATTTTATTTCTAGATGTTACCATTAATTGCTTCTTTTGAATAATGTATGCCCTCAATATTCAGAGCAATACAAAGTTATCATCTTTTTTAGTAAAACACTTTCAGGAAAATTAGCCTGCTAAATTCAGTCACTTCGTTCGAGTTTCAGTTTTCGCAAACAAGAACTTGAACAAAAACCCTCTTAATTCGATCAAACAAAAACCCTCTTAATTCGATCAACTAAAATGGGCAACTTTGTATTATTGTATTATTTGTATCTAGTTTAGATTTTGGCTCTTAAGGCCACCAAATACATTGAATCTATTACAATTTCATAATGATATGATGGTATTTCTGTTTCAGTTATTAAATTGTAGCCACCCATTTTTATCCTATATACCTAAATATCTGATAGAAGAAAACTAGAACCCTATAATTAACTTCCGGTTCTCAAATTTTGTTACAAAATTCCAATTCTAAGACTTAAAATTCCAAGTCCCATGATAGCTTTTTGGAACGAATGAAGTTCTTAATATGCATCAACATGATATTATTTCTTAACCAAAGGCAAGAATAATGACAGAACATTGGCAAAAGATACCTAAACTATTAGTCTATTAGAAATAATCGGTTATGGTCCTAGTTTTGCAAATAGGGATAGACATGAGCCGATTTAGGACTTCTGGTCCCCCTTAATATAGTATTGTAGACTTGTAGTGATCAGAACAAGTCAAGTTCCAGATCAATGGTTCTAGATCTGATTCTGGTCTGATTTCTTTCCTAATAGATCAGTAATCTTTAAAAAATAAGGTAAACAGCAGCAGTATTTTGTAGGAAACAGATTGGAAAATAAGCAGTTACCAGTTTTGGTTCAGGTCCAATCAACAGGTTCAATTTCTGCTTAAAACGGATGGTCTCGACCACGAACCATGTTTGTGTCCATGCCTAGCTGTAAAACAAAAGCCCCTCGAATTTCTTCAGTTTCTACAAGTTCAAATTCCTTTTAAATTTGTCTAAGCCATACATTTAACAGCCTCAACAAAAAAGGGAAAAACCTCAAATCAAATAACAGAGTATATATAATATATACGGCACCTAGTCATAAATTATCTAATAAACCATTCACTCATAACAATGAGAGCATCACAACGATACCAAAAAAGGTGTTGTCATCTGCTGTTGGTAAGGGTCTAATCTTGTTGAGGCTGCACACTTGCTTTCTCTCGTGTAGGTATTGTAGCAGCAGGCTGTGCACTGCTTTCTTCTAGTCGTACGCAAGGCCTCCAAATTGTTTCATTATTACCAACATCCATTAAGGCAATGCCCTTTAAGGCCAAATCTTTCCTTATCTGATCGCTTTTACTGTAGTCCTTCTCTTCCCTTGCTTTTGCTCTATCGCCAATTGACTCCAGAATATCATCCTCCGTCAATTCTGCTCTTTTCAGTGCTTTTTCTTTAAATTGCTGCAATACCTGTAAAAAAAGGAACAAATAAGTCAGGAGGATGTCATCATGAGTGGGTCCCGTGCAACACAACCCCGCATGTGACAAGCACAATGGGTTCAGAGGGTGCACCTCACAATAGCTTAAACTGGATAGCAATCCCAGAACATCCAGCACTGTCCTCACTTCTTTCTCCAAGTCCATAATATCATCATACAAAAGTTGTTGTTGCTGTTGCTTTTTCTGCTTCTGTGAATTCATTACTATAATTATCAGAGAAAATGACAAATATAGTACTACAATAAAAAGAAATGACAACATATGACTTTTAATAAGCAGTGACCATAGTGCTATATACCAGCGAGCGTAGAGACCTTACTAATGTTCATATTTAAACCGTGAAAATGGTGATATTTTTGCATTGACTATAGGGACCATATAATCAATTTTTGTCCACAAGTTCAATTTTGGTTATATTTTAGGGAAACGCCCAATTACCATAGAATATCCTCAATACGATGTCAGAAAAACAAAATAACATAAAGAAGCAACACTTCTGGTTTTAACCTTCAGCGTGTTCAATGAACCACCATTCATGACTCTCAAGACTTCTTGAAGAGCAGCATTTAATATAGAAGGTGTGTGTAAATCATCAGAGAGTCTTGACTCAAACTCATTACGCAGATTTTCTATGCACTTTTTAGCATCGGTTGAACAAAGATGGCCTGCTTTATTACCACCGCTTGTATCAACACCATTTTGCATCTTTGAAGTGGCTTCTTTACAATCTTGTAAGGTCTAGAGCACAAAATGAAAATCAAAAGTCAAGAGGGAAGCAATATACAGAAGTGGGGATAGGAACATAGGATACACATAAATGAGTCCCACTTTGACATAATCCAGGCTGTCAAAAGTATTTCCTTACCTGGTATATATAGAACACAGATTCTGAAGCAATTTCTATCTGTGAAATCGCATAATTGACAGGAGAACGGTAGTGTGTCCCCATCAGGAAATATCTCAAGGCAAGGGGATGGTAAAGCTTGGTAACCTTCCAAAATGAGATGCAAAACAATCCAAAATTACTCTGACCTTAATTAAGAAATAACTAATAATAGAAATCATGGCAGATATATGACTGAAATAAAAATAATGCACAAAACGTGCCTTTAACCCACAATTAATATAGCGATTGTAGACCTATTTACAATTTTACTATAGTTAACATAGAGATCATGACAAATATATGACTAAAACAAAATCAATGGACAAATTTGCCTTTTACGTGCTGTGAATATAGATAGTGAATGTAGATATTAGGGTGATGATCACTTTTACAGTATGGTGAACATGTTGATAGTTTAGCAGTGACTAAAGGCCACGTAGTCATAGTGTCATACCCACTAGTTATATTCTAATAATTCTAAAGAAAAAATCCCTGATAGAAAAAATCGAGGTTATAAATTGTTTATAAATAACCACATAAATACCTCACGGATTGTGAAGAAATTTCCAACTGATTTTGACATTTTTTCATCGTTTGCAGTAACAAATCCATTGTGCATCCAATAGTTCACTTTACTGTCAGGGCAGGCAGCACAGCTTTGAGCAATCTCATTTTCATGATGAGGAAATATCAAATCCATACCACCACCATGAATATCAAATGTGTGAGTTAAATAATGAGAACTCATAGCACTGCATTCTATATGCCACCCTGGCCTTCCATGACCCCATGGGCTTTCCCAACTTGGTTCACCAGGCTTCGCTGCCTGGGAGAAGGGGAAACCATTTTAAAGCATATACAATCAATAAAAGTAGCTATAGTTGTGAATTCATAAAATCTCCACACCTTCCATAAGGCAAAGTCAGCTGGATTTCTCTTCCTAGAATCAACAGCAACTCGTTCACCAGCTCAGTTATCTTCTAGTTTCCGTCCAGATAATTTGCCATACTCTGGAAAACTATCAACAGAGAAATACACATCACCATCAACTGGGTAAGCACACCCATTGTTTATTATCTGCAAATGGCATTTTTATAGTTTGAGCATAGAAGTAATCAGACATAAAGCACATACCATAAAAATTTAAGCTGCAATACAAAACTATTTCATCTTTCCTTTCCCTTCATATACGCCAATGATAAGTACTTAAGTACTGATTATTTGTTCATCATCCTCAAAATTTATACATGGAAATAATAATTGCTGTCCATATTTAATTACCATCATATCACACCCCAAATTAACATTGCTCAAAGTAAAACCAAAGAGATTAACTGTGCACATCAAAACAAGTTGAAAACGCGTGCAGAGTAGCTTCAGCTCACTCACATTGCTGATAGAGTGTATTACCTCATTGGCTAGAACAGAAACAACCCAAGTGCTAGACCCTCTAATAGCTTCATCATGGCCAAATTGCCAATCACAGAAAAATGAAAAACAACATAAACATGAGAGAAAAAGCATGTGAAAAGTAAGTTACCTGTCCTATCATTTCCTTTATTTGATCCATATGCTCTGTAACACGTGGCTGATGGGGGGGCATGAGGCAGTTGAGATCAACCATGTCATTAAGAAATTCTTGACAAAACCGACCACTCAAACCTATTGGATCCTCACCAAGTTCATTCGCTCTCTTAATAATCTGATTCAACAACATCCAAGCTTTAGTCTTAAAAGATTTTGGAGTCAGCTAGTATATATACACATATATAGAGAGAGAGGGAGTAATCTTCCCGGTCAGGAATTTCCTGACCGGAGCGCCGTCCCGCCACCTCATTTTGAGGTGGTTCCCGGTGGAATTTTTTGACGAAATTTTGGGAGCATTTTCTCCATAAAGGGTAGATTATGTCCACAAAATTTCAGCTAAAAAATCAATCTGGAAGTCAATTAAGCTTTGAAGATAACTGCGCCAAAATATATGTAAAAAACACAGTTACTTTCAAAATTTTATTTAATTGATTTCCTGATTGAATTTTTAGCTGAAACTTTGTGGACATAATCTAAACTTATTGGTGAACATGCTCATAAAATTTCATAAAAAAATTCCACCGGGAACCGCCTTAAAATGAGATGTCCGGACGGCAGTCCTGTCCGGAATTTCTGGACGGCAGTCCTCTCCGGAATTTCCGGACAGGAATATTTGTGTGTGAGTGCGTGTGTGTGTGTACATTATATATTGTAACCGAAAGCGAAGAGAAAGGAATTTTATTAATATAAGCCAGAAAGGGTACAAAAGAAAAAGAAAAAATAACCGAAAGCGAAGAGAACAAAAAATTACTAAAAAACACCCAACCGAAAATTGTTTATCCCTAGAAAAACCCTGAGTGATCTCAGAAGTCTTCAAAGTCCCACACGTGTTTGAGATTTAGTACAATGAGTCTGGGGTACCAACTTATTTTTGAGTGATACTGCTGTACAAACTTGGTTGGGCCGTGTACTACTGCCGAAACTAAGTTTTTCGCAAACCTTAGTTTCGTAAAACTAAGCCTTTTCGCAAAACTTGGTATTTTGCAAACTGAATTTTTCGCAAACTCAACTTTTTTCGCAAAAACTCAACTTTAGCAAACCTGGACTTAGAAAAAAATTGTCGTCTTTTAATTCTTCTCTTTTCATTATTGTCCAAGTTTTCCCTTGAAAAAAATGGACAATAAACCAACAAGTCCTTTTGACTTCTCTGATGCTGAAAATTCATCACTTGTTGGTTTACCTGCCTGCCTAACACATTTTTCTCAGATCAAATGGTAAGCTCTCCCGTCAATTCAGTTTACTTTGAGAGGCTCTGGCTCGAAATCAAAGTCAACAACTTCGAGCTGAACCTCACTTCCTTCAAATGCCCAGACGACTTAATCATCTTTATCCTAAAGCATCACAGTTTCTGGCCCGCATTCACAGAAAATCAGAAACAATTGAAGTACCACAGGTCTATCTCTAACAGTTCTGGGGAGTGATGCGGTTGATTAAGCTAGCAACTGGCAACGAAATGGAGACCAAACTAGACAACACCATGGTCCGATTCAACAAAGAGACACAGCAGGTTGTTCTTCAAATTCAACCTGGTCTTGTCATGAAGTGCCTCACCTCAAATCACAGTGGTTTCGACAAATGCAACTTGCACATTCTCCGAATCTTCCATGGCATAGCCTACAGCAATGAAAACGCAACAGAAACTGACCCTACACCGGAAAACCAACCTGATGAAACTAGTGGTGAAAATTCGGAAAGCAACAGGGAGAACAACGAGAGGAAAAATCATTCTTTAAACAATATGACAGTGATAGTTCATCCTCGGCGAGCACTGACAATGATGCTTCATCTTCCGAACATTCAAACGGTGCAACAGTGTATTCTGAACCACAAGTCACTGCCATTGAAACGAATGTCCTCCAGGCCAATGAGCATAGGAAAAAGAAAAAGAATGGAATCTCTGCTAGTCAAGAACACTCACAAACAAGCAAGGAGTTTCAAGCCGCTCTACTCCTACTCCAATAGACAAACGCTGTTATATCCTTCCCTGAAACTACTATAGCCCGGAATCTCCCATAGGTACATGGGCTGAAGTTGTCAATCCCCAAATAGAACATGCTGCATTAAGTCCAACAATGCTGCATAAATGTATGTAGCGGAGCGGCCTACCCTAAAAACTCTATAGCGGATAGCTGGATGACCGTTATTTGGATAACTTTTATACAGAATACAAGACTATATGTATGCATATTAAATGCATAAAATGGCAAATACAGCTTAAAACCCCAAACTTCATGACACTCATGTTAGAATCTTTATTCTAAATATTCCATTTCTAATCATGAATAAGGTTATCTAATGTAGACTTTAACAAGGCAGGCTCCACACTAAACAAGCTTCGAGATTGGTGGTAGATGTCTAAGAAGATCTGAAAGTAGAAGAAGAACAGTAGTAGTCAAAAGTAGTTGAAGAAGCAAGGTATCTCTAGCTGTTGTCAAAGATTTTCTGGTTTGGTGTGTGATATTTTGAGCCATGACACTGGTCGTCGAAGAAGCAGAATAAAGATGGCCAAGAACGATGTTTTAGAATGTTGGGGTGGGATTTACGTACTTGGGAGGGTTTTAGTGGGGTTACTTTTTATTCGGAAAACCTACTTTAGCCCTTTAAAAATCTTAAAAACCAAAATTTCCTCAAAATTCTCTAGCCCTAGCGCAGACAACTAGGAAGTTCAATAGCGCCCGCTATATCCGCTACAGAGGCTCTAGTAGTGCCTTGATGCAGCTCTGCTCTGCTGCACCGCTATAGTGCGCTATTGACTTCACTGGCCTATAGGTCCAGTACCATTACAGTCTCGATATCATTACGATCTGGCCCGGTCCAGTACCATGTCTCTACGGGTACTTTGCAAGTGCACACCTCTTTGTATCACCAATGTTGCCGGAAAAGTATAAAACACCTTCATTACTTCAACCTGTCTCATTTCTAAACAACTGGGGTACCAAAGCATTAGATTAATAGGCTGAGAACTAAAGCTTTAAAATAACTACTAATAAGGTCCCACTTATGCAATTTAGCCCCTTAAACATTTCTCCTAAAAAACATTGTAATGAACACCGTTGTGAAAGAGTGTCAGGAGATTCAGTGAGCCTATCAGCGATAAGATGTATGAAAGTCATCCCCTTGACCTTAGCCAAGCCTTGGACAGAGTCCATTGATATGAAGTCATCCATGCAAATATAGCTTTGGACAATAACAGATGAAGGAAGCAATTCTGCTCTTCATCTCCGGCCAATAGTATTTGCAATGAAGTTGTTGTAAGTTCTTCTCCACTCCCTTACATGCCATACATTAAAAAAGCAAGAGTAATCTGGGCAACATGGATAAAGAAGACAAATAGAGCTTATGGCAGTAGAGAGTCAGGCTGTCAGGGATGAAGAGGAAATATAGACCTATTGCCAACTAGAAATCTGACGAGATTTCCTGCCTCGTTGAAATGCCACAACCTTGTAGCTCAGATGATTATGCAGTTCCGTGCCAGATGTCATTAAACAGGTCTGTGAATGGGACTATCAATGCAGCTAATTTGGTGAGGGGCAAACCCATTGTGATAAGGCAGCAACCATTTTATTCAATCAGTCCAGTTTTTATTCCACTCCAAAGTTGAACCACGTGAGTTTGCTATCTCAATGCTGTTGGGGTGATTTGATTGGATGTTCATGAGGCAGTCATAACATGCAAATCTCATGTGGTGTCCAGCAACCTTTCGGCAGATAATCAATGTGGTCGTACTAGACTACTAGTCTAATAAGCAATCACGTGATCATCTTTTTGTAACAGGGCATCAAGAGTCAAGACTGCATGAGGCGTCACACTCTACCATGGAGCCTTCTTCAAAGTTGGGCAAATTAAAGTATTATTAGAAAGACACACGCCTTCAGAACAATATAGCTAGAAAGGTTTAAATTTTAGTGAGGAAAAGATGGTGCTCCTATTGCAAAGGAAGAGAAGAAAACATGTTAAGTTGTTAACTATTGAAAAGGGGCCAAATGGCCAGACTTTAAAGGCATGAAATTATATTAGCCTAACTAATGAAGAGTGAACTAGTGAAGGTTGCCTCATCGCATTATATTCTCTTTTGTAGCCATAAGGCCAGTTATATTCACTTACTAGAAAGTTTTTAGATAAATGAAGGGCACCCACTTCATGAAAAAATTTGGCGCTTCTTGATAGTAATTAGTAAATACTACCTCTTACTACTAACATTGGGAATGAAGAGGTGACATGATTATTAAGAAAAGTGAGTCTATGTGGTTGATATTGAATTGATAACGTAAGAATAAAGTAAATATGATTTTGAGCCACACAAACTTTACCAAATTTGGTACAAGACAATCTTAGTGAGATTTCCCAAAAAGGAAAAACGGGACAATCTTAGCGGGACAGAGGTAGTACTAACTAAGACTGGTCATTTATGAACACAATTATGCCATCACAAGTTAACAATCTATAAAACTTTCAAATATCAAGACCTCTAGATAAGTTGTTTTAGTGTGCAGATCTCAAGAAGAACAAGCATTACAATGCATTTATTATTTTATACTGTACAGAGCAAATGCGAACTAAATCTTGGAATTTAAAGCTAGCACACAATCATTACAAGTTTAGAACATACTTTTGAGAGGAAAAGGCTTACCTTGTCATCAACATCAGTAAAATTACGCACGTAAAGAACCTCATATCCCAAGTATTTTAGATATCTGTGAATGTCCGGCACAAAAAGATCTTACAATATGGTTGAATAAAAAGAAGAGCGTATATAGATGGATTTATATTCTTATACATATAGATATTCAAAAATGTGCAAGGTCATCACAATACCTACTCAAGACAAATGTATCCAAATTATTGAATGTTTGGGTACGGAATCAATGCAAATATGTTACGGGGTAGAATTTAAATCAAAAGAGCTTCATTCAGAGTAGAGCAAGCAAGAAAAGAGAGTGAATTCGTATTAATAACTACTTTTTGTAGTTCTTTAGAATTTAAAGATTTCTCCTATTTCTGTAAGCAAGCAAGTAAGTATATTTCTGTTTGTGCACATAATCCAGGTTTTCCTCCTATTTACTACAGTTTCTTAAAATGAATTTCAAATGAGTGACTGTAGCAAAAGAGGTGAAACTAGACCTGTAGAGAATGTCGAAAGCTACATAGGCACGAGCATGACCAATGTGACTGAAATCGTAGGTTGTGACGCCGCAGACATACATTCCGGCCTTACCAGCTTCCTTCGGCTTGAACACTTCCTTCTGCTTTGTAATAGTGTTGTATAGTAGCAATTCTGGCTGCGTCTTCCCCATATCCACGAGTTTCTTCGTGATACTATCTATTGCACAGTTCTGCCAACAAACCCCAAACCCCTAACTGGCAAATTGAAACCGTCGCCCTGATTTAGAAATGATACTTTTAAAGCTAATTCACGTTCAAATTTAGAATGGAAAGCAACGATCGGAAGAGGGGCAAGCTGACTGGCCCGAGACCTCAGTTGCCCCGTTCTCCTCCTACATGGGCTGGAACTAGTGCATAGCCCAATAAAAAAGTCTTTAGACTAGGGAAGACCACCCACAAAAGTTAGCCCAACTCACCAAGGTTAGTGAAGGGTCTGTGCTTGGTTCCCTTTTTTAGAAGAATTTCTTTTAAATATTACTCGTATATCAAAAGTGTTTAACAAAAAAGATTATATCAAAAGTTATTATTAAAATAAGAATGATAGGGACTGGAAAGTTGAGTGATTTCTTAGAAAAAATTAGTGAAAAAATTAGTGGTTGATGAAAATATATCCTTTTATGTAATATTTCTTCTATTTCTTAATAATTACAACACTTTGAAAATGTGAACTTCGTTGTTAAACTCACATTTAAGTTAGTAAGATAGGTGAAGTTAACATGTTAGGTGATTACCTACCCTTACCCCCTTACCTCTAGACCACACATGGCCCCTACCTACCCCTACCATACCTTACCCAAACCCCAAAACCCCTTCCACCCACCCTTATCCTACCCTTACCTTATATTAAATAATAATTACGCGTGTCACAAATCTTGGCCCTTATACCCCCCTTTTATCATCCTACCCAGATCATACCCCTTATCCCACCCCTACCCACCCATTCCCCCCTCGTTAACCCCTACCACCAGCCCTTGACCCTACCCCGACCCCCAAAATACCTTACTCCAGCCCGGACCCATGTACCCTTTGTTGGGTTTCGGATCGAAAAAATGTAGTGGGAAAATGGAAAAAAATATCTGCGCAAAAGTAAGCAACTGGATCTGAGGTTCTTACAATAAATGAAATTACAAAACATAAGAGGGACTTACATAAAAATCACAAAGCAATGATGACAGACAGTCCAAGAAAACGATCATGAGCTCTACTAGTGTTTACACGCACGTGACTAGATCGCTCGTAAGGAACGTGATAGCGTTCTCTTCTCTCTCTCTCTCTCTCTAGGTTCATTAGATGTGAATTTAACCCTTCTTTTGTGGCTCACCTTAGCCCTATATATAAGAGGAGGAAAGAACGAGTTCTATAGCTAATAAAACCCTCCTGGAGGCCCTAGCCCAATACCATTCTAAAATCTATTTCAAATTAGGCTAATCAAGCTATTTTACTGTTATAAACAAACATTAATGATCCATATCACTTAGGTGTGTGACCTTGTAGGTTTATATATCGTTGGCAGCGGGCTAGAAAATTAATTTGAGCCTCACAAGTTGATAGTGTATTTAATTCTAGAGAGAAGTGAGAGTTAGAGAGAGAAAGTGAGCAATTATGTCAATTAATATTTCTCAACCCCCTATAACTACCCCTTAGGGGCTATTTATAGAAGTAAATGTGGATTTGGGCTCCTAGCCATGGGCTTAGGAGGCCCATTACAATAATCATGTCTTCTTTGGGCGAAATAAGGCCACTAATGGGCTAGGTACAACACTTAGTGAATTAAGAAAGAAAGTACATTCTGCCAGGGTAATACTTGACCGATGTGTCGTCTTTGGCCGATGTGGTCCCTAGGCCGATGCGAGCCCCGATCGATGGGGGACCCGTTTTTTCTCCGGAAAGTGTCCTGAGTAGTCTGCCTCGGGCCGTTGCGGGACCCACCTGACCGAAGGATGCCATGTGGACGTCTCTCTGGTGATGTGTTTGACCTTTTGTGTATGTGGGCCACGGGGTCTAAGCACATATACTCTATCACAAGTCATAAGTAGTCTCTAGCAAGTCATTATGACTATCCAAGATATACAAATGTCAATTAATATTTCTTGATTACCAAGTAAAATTAATCTTGAACAAATGACACTTCATTTGAGCATGGGCATGCTGATTAATCTTACTTATCAAGGGACCCAACATATATCTTTCTCTCGCTATGCGAGAGTGACAAAAACTATCTTGATAATTCACATACCGCTACATAGCTCATAATATGTACAATCACCACCTTTATAATTACTCATTTAAAGATAATACTTAATGATGTTAATACATATTAATTCTCATATAAGTAACCATGACTATCTCAAGTATAAGAATATAGCACCTCATCATTATTGAGGAGTGAGGACAACACTGATGACATATAACCTAGAAGTATCCTCAAGTTGGGTCTGTCCAATGAACTTGTTCTCTAACAAGCATCCTATCTATGTTATTAACTTGATGTCTTTATATATATGTCTAGTGGAATATAGCCATAAGTTAAACTACATACTGGTCTATTAATTATCAATATCCCAAATAAATAATATTAGACCAGAGAGTCAGAGACAATTAGAATATTATGCTTAATTAGCTACTTAACATAATACTTAGGGACTAGATATTAATAAAGAAAACTCACAATATTAATTAACATAAAATGAGTTTGTGACTTTAGTAATTGATGAACATTAAATAAATCATAAACTATGATTGTCCTAGGGCATATTTTCAACAGTCTCCCACTTGCACTAGGAACAATCATGAACAAAACGAATGCCTAATGCACTAGTATGTCATTCATGATTTGCTTGTGGAGTGACTTGGTGAGCGGGTTAGCCACATTTTCATATGTTGGCACTTTGCATATCTGATCTTGACGTCACCTCTATTGACTATCTCTCGAATGAGGTGATAACATCTGAGTACATGCTTTGATTTTCGGTGTGATTTAAGTTTCTTGACTTGTGCAATGGTTCCATTTGGTTTAGTTGGTTTCGTGAATTTCTTACTGTGGGTCAAGCACTTCATATAACCATTATTCCAATTATTTCCACATGAACCCATTTACTCCTTTATGTTCTTAATTGAATTTTGGAAGATAGCACTACCTTCCAAACGCCTATACAAGTCAAGCTTCTATTTCCATTACAGAACCCTCACCCTCAAAGATTCAAGATTTAATTTTTCGTTTGTAGCTTCGTCGTTCTTAGCCCCGTCGTCTGTAGTTGTGTTGCCCGTCGAAGCTACATTTCTTGTCAAAAATTCGTCTGGGTTCACACTTTCTTATCTTCTGGCTAAGGGAGAAAAGAGATGGCGCTGGGGGAAGAGAGATGACGGGGCATGGGGACGGGGAGAAGAGAGATGGCTATGGGGGGGAAGAGAGAAGAATGAAAAGGGGGTTGACGTGATGCTGCACTTGAAGGGAAGGGGTAAACAAAACTACAAAAAAAGGTATAAAAAAAATACACACACATAGTGCCCCAGGGTGTAACTAAGGGTGTACAACAAACAAAATTGAATCGTTTTACCTTGATAGGGTCAGATCTTGAACAAGATGAGTGATATATTGACAACTCATGAGTGATAAATTGGCAATTCATTAGGGCCTAGGCTACCCAGACATCGACCTACGCCAGGCTCAGGAAGAGAGTAGAACTTTAATTTATTTTACAAATGAGGTCAAAACAACTTGAAATAGAAAAAGTAGGGCGAGATATAATCAATTCAAATACTTCTATTTTGATTCAACAATGTGATTTTGAATTTTGATGTAATACTTAACCATCTTTCTTTTACTATTTAGTAAATGAATTTTGAATTCGAATTTTAGAACTCTATTTGATCTTTCTAATGGGAGAAAAAGGCTTAAAATGAAATAAAATTCATTAAGATATGATCAAATCAAACTCGACATTGTTTTTTTTTTACTTTCAATCAATACGCACCCATTCTTTAATTTTTGGTAAATAAAGTGTGAATGGGGTTTTTAGAATTGTATATGATCATAAAAAATTAAACACTTGGCCTATTTTTTGTAAATAGAATCTACTTCGAGTAAATAAAGAAATAATTACATGAATATGCTCAAAATAAAGATGATTTACAAAAATATGATTATTTACTAGAGTAGTAATGAAATCGTAGTAATTCATGTTCAAGTTTTGAACTTAAGTTACTACAACACCACGTTGTAGTAATGAATAGTCATATTTATGTAAATAAGTTTTATTTTAGTAATATTCATGTAAAAAACCCGTAAATAAAACCTATTTAAAGTAAACATAACATATTTACGATAAATAAAGTCCTCTTTTTAACACTCTATTGACTCCAAAGATGCGAAGTGTTTAACTAACCGATATACCACAAATTATTAGCTATCTATTATCAGCAAAACCCTCTATGGTGCTAGGTGTAAAATTGTGTGTAAATGTAAACCTTAAATTTCATTTGCAAGAGCTATATGTTGGAAAACAATAAAAGGGGCCTAATATGTAATTAATTAAAATGTGTTTACCATCAAATAAATAATACAGTGGCTATTCATGAAATAATAAAAGTGTAGATACCAGGATAATATATTTCTTTTGGTGACGGGTCAAATTAAATATATTACACTAAAGTGATACAACGGTTATGACCCCCGATGCGTGTAAACTAAGAGATAACAGTATAAATATTGTAACGAAAAATGGCCTAATAAATTATTCTAAATAATATCATTATTATATTAATAATTAAGAAATTATTATTAGAATTGAAGGGGCCAACCGTTACAATATTGAACTAGCTAGTCCTATATATATCCCATCTATTATAGGATTAGGACATCTCTCATAAGCTACATAGCATTGGAAGGTTTAGCCTACTAGCTTTCTTGGATTCTTGGGTCTTCTTAAAGTGATAATGCAAATGAATTCTCAAGGTATGGTTCTAATTTTAGTTCATACATGTTTGATTTCATGGATTTATATGGATTTAGTTATTATATATTTATATATATATTGCATACGGAGTTTTGTTGATATATATATATATGAATATCCATCAATTGGTATCAGAGCCTACCATTATAGATCCATGGAATTTTTAATCAACACATGAATCCATTGCCTATATGATATAGTCTTTTTTTGAACTGTTGGTTTAATGTATGTACGAA